TGGGCATGGGTTCGTGGATGCCCTCAATGGCCACTGCATTAGGACTTGCCAGTACTGGCTGTCCTCCTCCCTTCCCTAGTGGGCATTTTTTTTTTTTTTTTGAGACAGGGTCTTGCTGTGTCATCTAGGCTGGAGTGCAGCGGCATGATCATAGCTCACTCCAGCCTCCTGGGCTTAAGCCATCCTCCTGCCTTGGCCTCCCAAAGTCTTGGGATTACAGGCATGAGCCACCATGCCCAGCCTTCTTCCCTCATTGACACTCCTCTCCCCTATTGGTGTTTGCTGGGATCACCTTGAACTAAGAATTGGCTGCTCAGGAGCTAGATGGAAAATCCCTCAGACACTGGCTGTGTGTAGCCAAGTCACTAGGACTAACCACAAGGCTGCAGGGCAGGCCGCTCGCCATCACAGGTGACTCTGAAGCAATTTCTAGAGAGAGTATTCCTGGGCACAGGGCCTCTCTCCTCTGGGGTGCAGGCCTGGAGGCAGGCCGGCACAGCTTTCCTATTCCCACTAACTGGGATTGCCCCAGGATGGAAGTGCAGATGACTGACTGTGTTAGCTATTGAGTTAAGCTTTATAATTCCTTCCTTTGGAGTGGGAAAATCCAAAGCAAACGTGGTGTTCTATGAGTGTGTGCAGAGAAAGCTGCTCCACCTGGGGTCTGTGGCCCAGAACAGGAATGACAGGCACCAACTCTGCTTGACCGGCAGCTCGAAAAGTTACCGGGGTCCCCACACTTCCCTTCTTAGCCATTTACCAAGTCCAACTCTTACATCTCTAAGTAAAACACGCTAAAGAAGCAGAATTCTTTCTTTTTTTTCTTTTTTTCAATTTTGCTGACAAGAGAGATCCTTGGATGGAAACTGGATCTGTAAGAAAAACAAGGACAGAGCTATCAGCTTAGACAATACCCCGTGTGACCTGGAATCCTGGTGTCTTTCCAGTTTCACATCCGTGGAGAAGTAAATGATTTAGGATGCAAATTTCTTCCATTCCTTGCATCCACTCTTCCTTTTAGCTGCATGCCTCGGGCTGTAATGCCTTTTGCCAGGCACCCGGCCACGCTTGGCTCCTGCTCAGCTCATGGGTGCCAGCTCCTTTCCTGGGGTCCCCTGCAGCTTCAGTGGAGTTTCACTCCCCAAAAGCTAGACTACAGTTTTTTGACCACATTCAGTGCCCAACATGAGTGGTAAAGAAGTCCTTTGTTTTAGGGCCTCATCCTCAGCTGAGGAAGATGCCAAAGGAGAGGTTCACCAAACTTTAGGAAAGAAAATTCTAGAAGCATCTTTCCCCATAGAGGAAAGATCCCACTGTCGTCAGATGGCTCTTCACTCTCTGGACAGAGACGGACATCAAACCGCCTGTTAAGAGATGAGCCTATAAGCTCAGTATGACTCAGTGTACCCCCACGATGCACCCCCATGATGCACCCCCATTGCCCTCTGCCACAGTGACTCTCATACAGGTTCCTGGGCAGCTTTCATTGGCTAAAGTTCTTCCCTGGTCAGTTAAAAAGTAAGCTATTTTTTTTTGCTTGAAATAGGGTCTTGTGAGTTCTGTCACCCAGGCTAGAGTGCAGTGGTGCAATTATGGCTCATTGCAACCTCCAACAGCTGAGCTCATGCAATCCTTCCACCTCAGCCTCCCAAATAGTTGGGATTACAGGTGTGTACCACCATGCCTGGCTAATTTTTTAATCTTTTTCTTCTTCTTCTTCCTCTTTATCATCATCTTTTTTTCTTTTTTTTTTTTTTTTTGAGACAAGGTCTTGCTGTGTTGCCCAGGCTGGTCTCAAACTCCTGGATTCAAGTGATCCTCCTGCCTGGGCCTCCCAAAGGTCTAGAATTACAGGTTTGAGCCACCATTCCCAGGCAAAAAATAAGCTAATTAAAAAAAAAATAAGTGATTTTACAGGTGTCAAAAGTCAGTAAAGTTGGAGAGCGCTGATTTAACAAATGGTAATGATGATCATGATGATGATAACGGTGATGATGGTAACTACTTCCAAGGGCAATGGTTGCGAGGATTAACTGAGGGGATGTGCAGAATTGCCAGGTGCGGGGCCTGGTGACAGGGGTTGGTGGTGGTGATGATGGTGGTGATGATGGCGGTGATGGTGATGATGGTGATTATGGTTATGATGATGGTGATGGTGGTGGTGATGATGGTCATGATGATGATAATGGTGACGGTGATGATGGTGGTGATATTGATGATGGTGATGGTGATGATATGATGGTGATGATGGTGATGATGATGATAGTGATATGGCGATAGTGCTGGTGGTGGTGATGGTGATGGTAATGGTGATAGTGGTGGTGATGATGATGGTGATAAAGGTGATGGTGATGATGGTGATGGTGATGATGGTGATGGCGATGACGGTGGTGGTGATGATGGTAATGGGGATGATGGTGATGGTGATGGTGATGATGGTGATGGCAATGACGGTGGTGGTGATGATGGTAATGGGGATGATGGTGATGATGATAATGATCAGGATGATGGTGATGGTGACGATGGTGGTGGTGATGATGGTGATGGGGATGATGGTGGTGATGATGATGGTGATGGGGATGATGGTGGTGGTGACGATGGTGGTGATGATGATGGTAATGGGGATGATGGTGATGATGATAATGATCAGGATGATGGTGATGGCGATGATGGTGGTGGTGATGATGATGGTGATATTGGTGATGGCAATGATGGTGATGGGGATGATGGTGATGGTGATGATGGTGGTGGTGATGATGGTGATGGTGATGGTAATGGGGATGATGGTGATGGTAATGGGGATGATGGTGGTGATGATAACGGTGATGACGATTGTGGTGGTGATGAGGATGGTGATAGTGATGAGGATGATGGTGATAATGGCGATGGTGCTGACAGTGTTGGTAGTGGTGGTTTGTTGCTATGTTGAGTGCTTACCCTGTGCCAGGAACTGTGCTAAGTGTTTTACATACATTTTTCCTGCTCAATCCCCACGGCAATCCAATGAGAGCTGTGTTATTATCTCCATTTAACAAAAAGAAAATGAGATTGGGAGTTAAGGAACTTGCCCCAGGCCTCAGAAATACTGTGTGTTGAAGAGGCCTCTGACCCCCATCCTGCCTGCCTCCAGAACTCAAGCTCACAACCAGTAGGCTCTGCTGCAAGGAATTTTGAAGATAAAATGCTTTAACTCATGTGCATTCTTCATGTTGCCAGTGGAGAGCATCCACCCACCCCTGTCACCAGGCCCTGCATTTCTGCACATCCCCTCTATTAATCCTCAAAACCATTTGCCGTGGAGGTAGTTATTATTCTCCCCACTAGACATGACAGTGTCAGAGAAATTAAGAAGCATCTCTAACACTCAGCTATCAGGTGTCAGGGTCAAGAAAGGAGCCAGCAGCTCTAACTCCAAAGTTTGCATCCTTCCCACCACCTCCACGTTGACAACAGCAATGGGACCCACCAGCGGCGAGCTCTGTCCTCTAACACCTATCTCACCTCTCCCAACAGGCTCAAGAGGAAGGTACTATAATTTTCCCTATTTACAGATGAGGAAACTGAGGTTCTCAGCTGCTCAGAAAATACCTCAGGAAACAGCATGGCAGCTAAGGAAATACCATGTCCACGGCCACAGACATGGGACATGGCATCACAGAGGGTGTGAGGGGATGGTGAGCTCTTACTGGAGTTTACCTTCTGGGCTTGGCTTTTGAGGTATTCTGAACATCTCCCAGGCCCATGCTTTATGGCGCCCCCCTCGCCTATCAAATCCTGGGCTGGTGGAGGTCTGGACGTGGGGTCAAATGCTTCTCATTACCCCTATGCTATCATCCCCCTTACTAAGCATTTGCTAAGTGTGGACATGGCAAAGGGATCATCGTGGAAGTTCCCGGTGCCCCACCCAGACCCTCACACCTCACACTCAATGTCTTCTTCAAGTTTCACAACAACCCTACAAGGTAGGTTCATTTCACTCCATTGAGAGAGAGGAACCTTGGGAAATAATATATTACACCCACTGCAAAGGCAAGGCAAACAGACAATCATCCCCTTTCTGGGCGGGCGCATCCAATGCCCAACTCCCGCTAGCTGTGAATGTGCTGCTAACAGCTCAGAGCTGCCCCTTTCTCTAGAGGAGAGCCCTCAGCCCAAAGGGAGCTGCTCTTTCCACAAAGACACGCAGTCCCTACTCAACCCTTAGCGCCAAGCACGGACAAGGAGGAGCACCAGAGGGCAAGCCTCTTGCCTCTGCAGAGACCAACTGTGTGTGTTGTCATTCTTGTTCTGGGCTCCTCCTTCTCTGCTCCTTCCCCTGCCTCCTCTTGTCTCCTTCACTCCCTCACTCCCTGTGAGCACCTCCTCAATAAACCCTGTCCATCCAACCCCAGTCTCAGGTTCTGCTTCCAGGGGCGAGGAAGATGGCCATGTGAGCCCTGCCCCTGGCCCTCAGGGAGCTTGCCGGACAGCTGGGAGACAGGCCACAGACATACAGCAGGATCATCCACAACAGGAGGTGCAGGTGGAGAGGACGGGGCTGAGAAGATGGAAGACATCACTGGGGTTGGGAAGTTGGAGAAAGGGTTCGTGGAAGAAGGGGACTTTCTGGGTGAAAAAGAGGCAGGACTGGGTAGGAGACAAGCTTTCAAGGTGGGGAGAAAGTTCTGAGGAAAGGTGCTAGATGGCTAGGAACCTCTGCCCCCACCCCTCCCATTTCCTCCTGTCCAGGGTCTGTGACCAGGGAAACCATCTCAAGGCAGAAGAGGTGGGGGCTCTGCTCAGAGAATCCTAATAATGAGTCTAGCATCATCTGAGACCATCAGCCCTGCCCTAGAGGGCCGTGCTGGCTTACCCTGAGGCCAGGAAGGAGTCACTCCATTGTCAAGCTTCCCTCGAGAGGCCGGGGGCTTGGTACACCTGGAAAGATCACCTCCATTTGAAGGGACTGAGTGTGCCACATACCTGCCGGACCGCGGGCCTAGGGGCTTGTTCACAAGGATTCAATGATGTAGTAGGCAGCTCCCAGAGCCCCCAGCGCCACAGCCACAGTTCCGAGGGCTTGGAGGACACGCGTTACGATGACTGGAGGGTTTCCTTGAAGATCTTCTGCAGAGCGAAGCAGAAATTGGGGGTGGTGGGGAGCTGGGCTTCATGATGTCTACCAGCAGGAGAAAGTGGAAATTATATGTACCTCTCAGGTTTGCAGGAATACCCATCTTCCCCCTCTCCAAATTCCTCTGAAAGAGAACATTTAATTCTTCCCACCCTTCCAACAAGTCCCTACTGAAAGACCCCCGAGGATCGGAGGGTGAGCTGGTCTGGGATGCCAGCTGCCCTGAACCCCCAGAGGGGGACCAGGTTAGGAAGGTGGTCAAGTTCACTGTGAGCCAGGCCTTGTGCTAAATACCTCACACCCAGTGTCTTCTTCAGGCCTCACCACAACCCTATGAGGTAGGTTCTATCACTTCACTCCATTGAGAGGAAGGAAACTTGGGAAATAATATATTATTACATCCATGCAAAGGCAAGGGAAACAGATGATTAGGCCAATAATGGTGAGGAAGGCATTCAAAAAATGCAACACCCATTTTGATAAAAATCCTACCAAAGTAGGGATTCTTGTTTAATGTGAATATGGCTGGAAAGCCAAGAGCTAACATTACACTCCATTGAGAAAAGCATGCAGGTGCTAAAATTGGAAGAGACATGTCTTGCGCTGGCCGGACAGGGTCCCTGCCCCCTCCCTCTCACTTTCTTGATTCGGAGCCTTGAGTTTGCCTTTTCCTGCACCCAGATTGCTCCTGCTTTTCATCTGAAGCCAGAGAGAGCTTCAAGATCCTTTTGGACCCGGCTCACATGCTGTTGACACTACAATGCCCAGCTGGATGCCAGCTCAGAAGCAAGCACACTCTTGTTCTGAAACTCATGGAGCCTCTTCTGGAGGACACGCAGCACTTTCCATCTTGCACCTTGGTTTCTAAATGCATTGGTCTAGCCCTCCATTCAGACTGGAATAATTTTAGGGGTAAAGTTTCCTGTTCTTGTTTCCCTCACCGTGCCCCATGTCCTCTGCATAGTAGTTTCCCTCAATAACACTTGTTGGTTTTAAAACGATACGAACCCATGGCACAATTTGGCCACAGATGGATGGAAATACTAAGTGTGTGGGTGGGACGTGGCTAACGGTGGCAGGCAGGTCTTTCCTTGATGGGGCTACTGGGTGGTTAGAGTATTTTTGGCTCCAAGAATGTTCTCCCTATATAAGCCCCCGGTATCTACTTGCTTCTTTCTATATGTAGGAGAGATGGAGTTTTCCAGCTTCAGAAGGGAGAAGGGATTGGGTGGGGGAGGGGCTGGAAGAGGAATAGGATGAGGATGAGGGGTGGGGGTCTCTGCTCCTGGAGTAGGGGTATGAAGTCTCCAAGTGGAAGGGGCTCTTCCATTGAGATCTGTGAGGCCCTCAGGTGGGAAGGATGGAGACCCCTCTCCCAGCCCATGCGTGTAACCTAGCAGCACCAAACACGGGAACACCTTCAGTCTGTCCCCTACATGGGTGGTGTCTTCCTATGAGGGCAGTGGCAGTCACAACACTGCTCCTGGTGGCTTTGTGAGAAGAGGAAGTACGGACAGATACTACGGGTGATGTCATGGGGGCTGCCACCAACGGACCAGCCTGGGGGCACACGTCCTCACTGGGGACCCCAAGAAAGAGCCCGACACACTCTGAAGGGGGCTGAGGTCTTCCATTGTGTGGAGGGGGCATATGAGTTACAAGCAGGTTTTTATCATTTAACTGTAGGGACATTCATAGGCAGCTCAGGAACCTAAGGCCCCTGCCTATGGAACAGGTCACTGAGGGGCCACGGAGGCACGTGGCCAAACAGTGTTTAATCACAAACTCCTGAGCGACTCAGAATCAGTGAGGGCTGGGAGGGAGAGTGTTTTGAGGATGGAGAAAAGAAAAAGGAAGGCCTTAGGAGGCAAATCCCAGTAAGGAAGAAAACTGGCCCCTCTCTGTGCAGGCGGGATGGGTACCCCAGGAGATGGGGCCAGTCAGAAAGGACCCTGCCTGCCAACATCCAGGAAGTGGTCAAAGGAAAGAGGGAAAGGCTTTCCTTTGGCCTCGGATTCCCAAGAGGGAGTGATACACGATTGCTAATAAGGTCTGGGGGCAGAGTCTGGCTATGGGAACTGTGCGCCCCGAGGCTCCAGCCCCCCACGCTTGGAACCTGTAGAAGGTGAGCAGGTTGGGGAGTCCTCTCCCTGGCACCATCTGCCAGTCCCGAGGCAGAAGGACGTCGAAGATGCGGCTATGGCACAGTCCCAGACGACGCCAGCAAGCAGAGCTGCAGGGGCAAGTGGCATAGGAGCAGGAATGCGGGGCGGCGTGCGTCAGAGGCCCTGCGGGGACAGAAGGCAGGAGGTGAGGGAGGCACCTGTCCCGGGAGGCTGGCGGGGAGCCTGGACCACAGCCTGAGAAGGCCCCCCCAACAGCAGCAGCTGCAGGATGACCAGGGTGAGTCTTGGATTTTTTCAAGGCAGCATTGAGGATTTGGGACTGAACTACCCAAGGAAGGCAGTTCTCCCACAAAATGTTCTCTAACCAAACAGAAGACTGACCGCGTGGGAAAATGGCTGTTTTATACCAGTGCTACCTGGGAATAGCAACAATGACGACGACGACGATGATGATGATGGAGGTGGTGCTGATGGTGTAATAGCAGGATGCTCTGTACTTATCATGCCCATCTCATTTAGTTTCACAATAATCCTGTAAAGGGGATACTGCTGGTCTTGTTTTACAAATAAGGAAACTGAGGCTCAGACAGTTTAAGGGATATGCCCTTATGGGGAGTAGATTGCGAAGTCAGCTGCAACTCAGGCTTTCTCACCTTCAATTCAGTGAAAATGGAATTTGCAGGTGACTGCTCACCCTAGGAGAGGCTGCATGGAGATTCCTGGAATTGGAGCTGCCACATGCCATTAATCTCGAACATACTGATCCATCCAGGCAGTAACTGCGGGTCTAGTTTCCAGTCCCGAGCCTATCTTCCATTTCTGTCCTCCTCTGGTATGGATCCCAGCAGAAAGTAGATGATGCCCTCTGTGGTTTGGCAAGAGGATTTCTGGCTGGATCATTCCCTCTGTTTCCTGTCTGTAGCTCTGTGGCTTCCTCACAGAGCTCCAGATTCTTCTGACCCTAAGCTGGATGAAACCAGTAGTCAACCTGGCAGACTCAGGACACTTTCTGCTTAGACCCGCCCATGACGTGTACTTTCCCTGAATTGAGGAGAGGGGATTCTAAAGGGCAAGACTTGTCTTTTCTCTTTTGTTAGTTACAAAAAAAAATTTTTAATTGAGATATAATTCCCAGGCAATAAAATTCACTCTTTTAGAGTGTTCAGTGGTTTTTAGCATATTCACAAAGTTTTGTGGCCATCACCGCTAATTTCAGAACATCTTCATTTCCCCAAAAAAGAAGCCCCATCTCGATGAGCAATTACTCCCCCTTCTCCCAGTTCCCCCAGTCCCTGGAAACACATTTGCCTATTTCGAACATTTCATGTAACTAGAATCATTCGATGTGTGGATTTTTGGGAGACTGGATTCTTTCACTTAGCCAAATGTTTGTAAGGTTCATCAATGTTGTAGCATGTATCAGGATATCACCTTTTCATTGCCAAATAGTATTTTACTGTATTCATTGTATTGTGGTATTTCATATCACATTTTGTTTATCCATTCATCAGTTGATGGACATTTGGGTTGTTCCCAGTTTTTGGCTATTATAAATGTTGCTGCTTTGAGCACTCGTGTACAAGTTTTAGTGTGAATATATGCTCTAACTCTCTTGGATGTTCACTGAGAAGTGGAATTGCTGGGTAATATGGTAACTTCATGTTCCTTTGAGGAAACACCAGACCGTTTCCACAGCAGCTGCACCATTTTACATTCCCGCCTACCGTGTATGAGGATTCCAGCTTCTCTACATCCTCGCCGACACTTGTTACTGTCCATCCTTCTGAATAGTATTCCTAGTATGGAATACTTGCATTTTCTTGAGCTACAATATTTCTGCACACAAAAAGTCTTGGATTTTAGAAAATGGCACGCTTTACTTACAGTCCTCACCCTGCATCTCTAACATTCCTTTCCACTGCGGAGAATTCCTTTGGAAGAAGTTTAGGGTGTTCGCTGTAACCACTGGCGAGCCTTGTTTCTTGCTTTCTTGCTTTGTCTCTTCAATGGGCCAAACTCCTCTCCAGGTATGAGTCACATGCATTCATTAAAAGACTTGGGAATGGAAAATTTTGCTTTCTACAGATACCAGTTCTGAAGACCAGAACCCAGAAATGTTTCTCCCAGTGGCTAATAATCACAATCTATACAACATATAGTATGCCACTCAAAACCATTTTCATATGTCAAGAAGGGATTGATTCCTGGCCATGGAAGGATTGTTGGCATGGTGATACCTTGTATTTAGCACTTCCATTTCCATCTCTTATTTATTTTGTGCCCACACAATCCCAGGGGAATAAACTGTGGCCCAGGGAGTGTGGCCTGTTCGAGGCCATGGAGCCATGCACGCTGGCTCACGGCAGACCTAGGAGATGCTCAGAGAAAGATGTTCTTCCTCTTGTGGAGACTCCTAGGCCTCTTGGAATGGAAAGGTCAGTGCTGTGGTTTAGAGCGAGGGTTCTGGAATCAGAATAGAGCGTGTTTCCCTTCTCAGGGCTACAAGCATCTGCTCCGGAGCAACTCATTTGATTCCTATGAGCCTTAGTTTCCCTATCTATAAAATGGAGATGCTAATAGAAGACCTTTTATAGGGTTGTCACATGTGAAAATTAAGACAGCTGAGCTGAATGCTGGGTACACAGTAAACGCTTAGTGATAATGTTAGTTCACTATCACCATTATTGTTAGTGGTATACACCAGCCCACCTCCTGAACTCCACTTGAATTCCCTTTACATAATCCAATGCTTATTCAGACACTGGCTCCCAAGAAGATGGGGAACCACTTTTCCTGACAGCCGTTACATATTCAGACAGAGCTAATTGTTGGAAAGTCTTTTATGTTGAGCTGAAAGTCTTTTATGTTGTCTCTAGTGTCTTCCATGGGTAAAGTTGCTAGTTTAGAAAATAAAAATATGGATGTCCATGCAATATTTGGGACACAGATACTAAAAATTATTTGTTGTTCGCTAAGATTAAAATTTAACTGAGAGCCTTATATTTTGTCTGGCTATCCTATCCATGAGACTGTATTCATCCATTTTCACACTGCTGATAAAGATACCTGAGACTGGGCAATTTACAAAAGAAAGACGTGCATTGAACTTACAGTTCCACATGGCTGGGGAGGCCTCACAATCATGGTGGAAGGTGAAAGACACATCTCACATAGTGGCAGACAAGAGAAGAGAGCTTGTGCAGGGAAACTTCCTTTTTTAAAACCATCAGAGCTCATGAGACTTATTCACTATCACCAGAACTGCCCCCATGATTCAATCACCTCCCACTGGGTCCCTCCCATAACACCTGGGAATTCAAGATGAAATTTGGGTGGGGACACAGCCAAACCATCTCAGACCCTTAGTCAGACCTCTGAGGACAATAAGGAACAAGTCTATTCACATTTTCCACCTGACAGACAGACATCCTCCAATTCCTTCAATCGACTGTCATATACTAACTGGCCTCCTGACCCCTCTCACCCTCCATCAGCCTGGACTGTCTTCCTTGGACTAGTTCGTCAGGCATCTTTTACAGCCCAAAAAGATAGCTTGATGAGGACAGAATAAAGCAGTATCATCATTTCCCTTATTCGAAACCATATACTTCTATTTATGCATCCTTGGTTTTTAGTTTTTAGCAGTTGCGTGGCACTGCTGATTCCTAATGAGCCAGTATTACTATGGAACCAAGTTAAATGTTATTATGTATGTGTGGCTGTGTCAATGAGACTCAGGATGATGAGAAACGACAAAACCCAGGAATCCTGGTCTCTTGGGTAGAAACAAAAATCAAAACCTTCACACTCTACATCCAGCTCCAGAATACATGGTAACCATGCATCACTATCCTACAAAAACCAACATCTGGGATTTCCTGGAACTCCATCGGCAGGAAGCCTAGAACTGCTGAAGCTAGAAGACTGCCCACCTGCTTTCCTGGATTGAGGGGATGCCTTCACATTAGCATTTGGAGAGAACAGGCACCGAGAGGAGCGGCGGACTTCAGGTGCTGGAAGGGCTTGGGATGCTGGCTGCCCGGAGGTGGTTTCAAGGCTAGACTGCTGTGGTGTGGATTCAGGGCTAGGCTGCTGTGGTGTGGATTCAGGGCTAGGCTGCTGTGGTGTGGATTCAGGGCTAGGCTGCTGTGGTGTGGATTCAGGGCTGGACTGCTGTGGCGTGGATTCAGGGCTAGAGTGCTGTGGCGTGGATTCAGGGGTAGGCTGCTGAGAGGTGGAGTTGGAGCTAGGATGCTGGCCAGTAGACTCTCGGTGGCGTCTGGCCTCTGACCTTTTCTTCTTGACCTTTTTCATGGTGGATCCTCCCAACCTAAACGTGGACCTACATGGAGCTGCCTAATTTCCCGGCTCCCTCCTAGAGGGGCCGTTTGCCCTCTGCCCTAGGGACCTGGCTCTCTCCAACTGCACCCAAGCCCCACAGAGAACAGTGATCCACACCTCCTGTGAGGTCATAAAAGCCAGGGTGGCTCCTATGGCAGGGCTGCAGGGACAGTCTTCTCCACAGACACCAGCCTGGCATTCTCCCTTGTCCCAGGCTGCCAGGATAGGCAGGGGGCAGCAGCTGCCCTGGTCCTCACAGCCCTAGTGATGCCCGGCTGTGCGGCCCCATGACAGCCAGATCCCCAGTATTCTGCAACCAGAGCGCCGCCTTTAGGCACCTCTCTGCCAGTGTGTTCCTGGGTCCACGTGAACTACCTGTTTTGCTCTTAAGATACCTTGGATGTGATGCTCAGCTCTGTCACTGGTTTCCACATACCCCCTAGTCGTACACCTCAAAAATCCATGGTTACCACACATTTTGTGAGTTTTAGGTCACCTTCCTGAATATTTGGAGCTTCTCTGAAAGCTTTAATTCCCATGACCCAGAGCCTGCTGCCATTTCAGAGTAGCTTCCCCCTTCCCCAAAAGCCTACCCCCCACCATGGGAGGGGAGTTTGGGGGTTGACCTTTTTTTTTTTTGAGACAGAGTTTTGTTCTTGTCGCCCAGTCTGGAGTGCAATGGCTTGATCTTGGCTCACTGCAACCTCTGCCTCCCAGGTTCAAGCAATTCTCCTCTCTCAGCCTTCTGAGTAGCTGGGATTACAGGCACATGTCACTATGCCCAGCTAATTTTTGTATTTTTAGTAGAGATGGGTTTCATCATATTGGTCAGGCTGGTCTTGAACTCCTGACCTCAGGTGATCTACCTGCCTCGGCCTCCCAAAGTGCTGGGATTACAGACATGAGCCACTGTGTCTGGCTTATGGCAGCTACAGTTCTTTTTTTTTTTTTTTTGAGTTATTAGAACATTTATTTATTTATTTTCAGTATTAATTTTTTTATTGCATTTTAGGTTTTGGGGTACATGTGAAGAACATGCAAGATTGTTGTATAGGTATACACATGGCAGCGTCATTTGCTGCCTTCCTCCCCTTCACCTATATCTGGAATTTCTCCCCAGGCTATCTCTCCCCAACTCCCATCCCCCACTGTCCCTCCCCTATTTCCCCACAACAGATCTCAGTGTGTGATGCTCCCCTCTCTGTGTCCATTTGTTCTCCTTGTTCAACACCCGCCTATGAGTGAGAACATGCGGTGTTTGATTTTCTGTTCTTATGTCAGTTTGCTGAGGATGATGGTTTCCAGGTTCATCCATGTCCCTACAAAGACACGAACTCATCATTTTTGATGGCTGCATAGTGTTATATGGTGTATATGTGCCACATTTTCCCTGTCCAGCCTATCATCGCTGGGCATTTGGGTTGGTTCCAGGTCTTTACTATTGTATACAGTGCTGCAATGAACATTCGTGTGCATGTGTCTTTATAGTAGAACGATTTATAATCCTTTGGATATAT